AAAGGACTGTTTCTGATCAGGCAGGGTGTGATATAGCACTGTGCTTTAAAGCCGTGTAATGCCATTTTCCATTAGAGCTCTTGTTCAAGTCAGGAAGGGGTTTGATCCATTGATGGAAGCTGTTATAAAGAGATGAGAAAACCTCGTCCATATTTCTCTTGAGATTGTACAAAGCTGACAGTATGCTCACTGACCACAGTCATCTGGGACTCTCCCACACAAAATATCCCTCTTTTCATAAATAACAGGATTGTTGAGTGGTGGACAGAGATTTGCTGCAGAATTCAGTTTTGTCAAACAAAGAGCTTCTTCTGGTTCTTAATTTGAGCTATTAAAAAGATTCATCCTTCTTTCTCCTTGTGAATCCTTCGCTCTTTCTCCCTTCCCTATTTTTCCTTCTTCAATCTGTCTTTAAGATAACTTAGAGCTGTTTTTTGGAAACAAAAGACTTGCGTGGGTCTGATAAGTGATGCGTCTGAATTGGAAGGTCACGATTTTAAATCCTGCTTAGGAGTAAACTTGGATGAATTCCATAAACTAATAACCCAGTGTGGTGTTTTAAATTGATGGAGGTGCTATCCTCTAGATGAGACATAAAAACAGAGATCCAATCTGCTTGGCAGGGACCCCGCAGGACTTATCAAAGATGAGTGGGGGCTGCTAACTGTTTTGCCCTTGTCAAATCCTCGCCACCACCACCGCTTCTCTTCCTGTTCCAAAGCGATGACACTGGACCTTATGAAAATGAGACGACGAACTTGAAGGAGCCATCCTTTCCCTAATTATTTAAAGCAGTTTGCAGTGTCTGGCAAGAGGGGGAAGGAGAGATAATCTACTCACTTCAAAGTGGAATGACCCTGAATTTCAAAAAGCAAAACAAAAGCAGGCGAATGGTGCCACCATGCTCTGCAGCAGCAATATTATTAAATGATCAGCGAGCTATTAAAGCAGCAACATTTAGTACCTCCCCTAATGACTTGTACTGCTAACTGGTTTCCAAATTGAGATTCTTATTGCCTTCACACACAGACAGAATAAGGCTGTGTGCACGTTTCTGGAGGCTCCAGCTGAAGCAGACTGTTCACAATAGGATCAGTGAATCTTCTCTGCTGAAAACTAGTAACGACTTCTGAGATCCACACTCCTCCTCTGTCCTGTTTTCATGCCAGGGCCAGAAGCTTTGGGGGGAGAGGCATGGTGGAGATCAGAAGTGTGGGGGATTTTGCAGAGAGCTCTGCCTGATTCTTGTCTTATCTGAACTTCCTAACATCTGCGAAATTTGGCAGAGTTGTGCACAAACAGACTGCTCGGAAATCTCCCCAGAACCACTGATGCCAGTCAAAGAGCAAATATTGTGGGGACAGCATTTTCAGAAGGAAACTTGAGGATGCTGGTTTCCACTTCCAGGTAGGAATACAGAGCATGCAGAACAAATTGATGAAGGAGGAAGGGAGAGGAGAGAAAATCCTGGCAGGCAGTAGAGACAGACATTCACGCAGCTGCTTCCATTGTAGCTCTCCCAGGTGGGTTTCTGCTGTCCCATGGGAGTTCTTGTGATGGGAATAGCTGGGCAATCGACTGCAGGTGTGGTTGAAGTTGGGCAGAGAGTTCTTGTGGGCAAAAGCACAGCATGTGTGATTAGCAGAAGGAAAGACGATTACAAAACAAACCACCACACTACTCGGAAAAGGTGAGTTCTGGCTGTAGCTGCAGTTATTTTTGTGTCTGTGGTATTTAGTGAAACAAAATGGAGTCTGGGTCTTCTGTGCACCCAAAATAAATGCAAATGTCATTGCTATGATTTGTTTCTCTCTATCAGTTCTGCACACTCATGCCACCTGCACTTCTGAGTGAGTCAGGCCATTTCTCACCCAGGCTAGGCAGGCACAGGCAGAGACTGTTAATGCTTTTTTATGTATCAGGTACCTGCTTTCCGTGACAGAAACTACTCATCCTTTGTGGAGGTGGCTGGCAAAGCAGTGGCAGTGGGATGGTATGAGAAGCCAATATTAGAACATGCACATTTTTTTTAATCCTTTGCTGCCTTGAATCTTACTCCAGACTACAAGCTGTTTCCATTTTGTGACTTTTCAGTGGTTGGATATGGTGGCACAGAATTGCATGATCAGTTTTGTCAAAGTGTCCATCTACTTTCTGTGTCTATGCTTGGCAAAATGCCTTTACCTTCTCTGTAAACTTAACAAACAGGAGGTCTGTATGGGCTGCAACACATGGTATGAACTATAGGAAATGGGGCTGGATGGGCCTCAGGGGACCTTCTATATTTCTTTTCCCAACTTCATGCAAAACCAGCTAGAGCTACGTTGTTCTTACCTGCCATAGGTTTAACCTGTTCTTGAAGTTCTCTGCACTGGAATTTTCCAGCTGTGCTTAGGTGAAATGGTTACCAGTCCTTATTGATAGAAAACATTTTCCAAGAGGTAAAGTTTGCCTGTAGAACAAAATTCCTCCAAATCGGGAGTAAAGCAGAGCTGTAAGGCACCATGGAGGAGCTCACGTAGCCACTTCCTCAGCTGCATCCACTCTCATTTTAGGGTTTCCTTTCCAGGTGCAGTGTGTCCTGACAGTGGCATTGCCCACCATGTGAGCACACGTGTTGTAAAGAGACAAAGAAAAAGCAGCAGGGCCAGCTCTGGCGGATCAGCCTTCTGAGAGTGGCACTGACAAAATGTCCTAGAGACTTTACTGAGTCCAATTACCACTTTGCGTCTTTAAAGTGCTGAGTAAATGAAAGAAACTACAAGATCAAGCTATGTTAGTCTTCTCAATCCCTTAAATGCTTGACAGTCTTCTCCCATTCTTTCTCATTTTCTCAGAAGACTTTGAACTCTTAACCTTTGCTGCTGCTTTGAGTTCTCAGCTGCAGAAACCAAACTACCCACAGCCATCCCCAAATTCCAGTAACAATCACAAAATGCTTTCAAAGAAACTGTGCCCTTCCTGGAATTGCTGAACTTTAAGCTGCCTCCAACTTTCTGAACTTTTGAGCTCGTATGGTTATCCTCATCCATTGGTGCCAGCAAGCTGCAGGGAAGCTCACCAGGTATTGTCACAGCTGATGTCCCCATCCAACCGCTACTCTGTCCATGCAGACAGCAGCCATGAACATCAGCTGCTTGGGCTGTGCTGTACCATTGGACAGAACAACTGTAGAATCATAGACTTGTTTGAGCTGGAAAGGACTGTTAAAGGCTGTCTAGTCCAACTCCCCTGCACTAAACAGGGACACCTACAGCTTGATCTCATCCTCAAAGCCCTGTCCAGCCTGATCTTGAATGTCTCCAGGGATGGGGCATCTACCACCTCTCTGGGGAACCAATAACATAGGTGCCTACAGTGTGCATCGTATTAGAATGGCAATTAGTGTGCCTGGAATAGATCCCTATAATCATCCCCAGGCACTGGAATGGAAACTAGAGTAGTGGAACCAGATAATGGGGGGAGAAAATTAGCGTCAGGAGTCATCCTCAGACACTTGATCAGGGCTTACTAGCAATGCCAGCAGAGCTGGTGGCTGGCTGATAGTTTTTGGTTGAAGAACTAGAGCTAGAGACTGAGTCATGTCAGTTTGACCTCTCTTTTAAATAAATAAATAAATGATAAACAGCTCACAGCGATGCCTGAACCTGATGTCTCATGCTCACTTGTTTTGATGTGTCTAATGTAAGTGGGCGGGTACTAAAAGCTTCATTTAGAAGCAAGTGTCTTCACAGCCGCTACTGGAAACCCCTGGGATGCTGCACTTCTGGAATTTTCCTCTAACTTTCTTTCCTCATCAGCAGATAACTATTGGTGTAACGGAATGTGAACACATGCACACAAAACAACCCAGAAATGGTTTCTTTTCCTAGACTGCTGGATGTCAGATGCAGAAGTATGTTTAGTTCCCCAGGTTGCATGTCCACTTCAGCTTCTGCATTAACACCCCTGAAATCCTGAAATGGCTGCTGTGATGACCAACTGGGGCAGCACTCTTGAAAGTCACATGGTTATTGCAGTGTGTGTAGGCATCGGGTCAAAATAAGCAATTAAAAGAGTCCTCAGCTATGCAGCTATGGATAATGGCATCCATTGCATTTCTTCCAGATGAACATCATCATGCAGAGGATAAGCAGGGACCACTCTATAACAGACAGGTCTAGTGCTGATGTTTCATATAGGGAGGAGGTTCACCCAATGAATATATGATCTTGGATATTATTTTTTTATGCAGTCGTGGGTTATTCAGCTTATTTTTAGGCAACAGAGTCTTCAGGAGGTTCAGGCACCCTCAAAGTCTCTTCAGCAGCTCATCTGTATAGTGTTGGGTTCAGGGTTAGCCAAAACAGAAATCGTGGCCAGCGAGGGGAGAGGAGCCCCAGTGTTGTTTCTGACCTCCTGAAGGTAATGCACAGCTCTCCAAGACATTCTTCTAGATCAGTGCTAAACCACCATTTTAGCTTCTGAGTACAACACAACTAGAGAACTGTAGATTCTTCTAGGACAGTGTGGGAGCTCCATGCTAAAGGTGAAGGGCTACAGCTCCGATCCAGCATTAAATTTTTATACTGGTACATGTCTGGTTTGTACCATGACATTGTTGACCTTGTCTCCTGGAGACAGGTACAGAAATGTCACCTGTGTCCAAACATTTTTAGGTATTTATTTTCCCTGAGCGTGAAAATTGGAAGGCTGCTTGGTCTAGTCTGTTACTTCATGAACACCACGGGGATCTGCAGCCAAGTGTAAAGGGGAAGAGAGACTGTTTCCTCTTGTCTGTAGTTTTATATAGCATCTACTTGTGAAAAGAAGAAGCAAACAAGATGACCCTTGCTTTGTCTGCTTATGTAAGTCATTTTGCCTGAGGTCTAAGGACTGTGGGATGGCTAATGTAAACTTGCTCGTGCGTCAAATAGCAGTAATTTACCTCTGGACTATGTGGTTTTATTATTAATATCTTTAATTATTTCCAAAAATACTCCTTAATTAAAAACCTACAGATATGAAGCTTGGAAGGAATGTGGCCAGGACATTCTTGGACTATTACAGGCTGAACTCCTTGGTGGAAAGACCACTGGCAGCAACTCCTAAAATTCGGTAGGTCAGAAAGCATTTTTTTTTCCTTTAGTGGGGCTGCTTCTTTCATGCCTTTCATGACTAAACTTCAGTGCTCCTTCATTATGGCTTTATAATAAGCATGCCAGTCTAACTGTGCTTATTCTATTAAAATTCCATTCGGAAATAAAGCATTTATGATCAGGAAAGATACCTGGTTTATGCCTGAAAAAAATATTCAGGGGATTTGGGAGATATCAATATCTTTCCTGAATTCTGTCTGCTGTACACCAATCTCACACCAGTATCTTTAATGGACTTACCCTTCGTTTATCTCCCAAGAGTGAGAGGAGAATCAGACTCTCTTTATTTTGAAAAGTTTTAGTTCTGGAAGGAAAAACTTTTTCAGTGCTTCAGGAGGTTATTGGCAAGCCTGTGCTGAAGGCAGTATTCTTCATTTCACTTTGGACCTGTGCTGACAGCTGGATGGCAGGCTTCTCCTACAGCTAGGACCAGGTTTCCCCCTCACTGTGAATCCCTAATCCAGCTTTCCAGCCAGTGTAGGCTGTTTGTCCCAAAGTGTCTCTGTTTTTGGACATGAAGTAAGGCCACTAGAGAGGAAGGCACACAGGTATGAAGAGAGGGTTTAAATGCCCAAGCTCTATTCTCTGCAGTGCTGCTGGCCCTCTGCGTGGTGTTGGACCACTGATGTCCTTTCAGTGTCTTACCTTGCATGAGCAGCAGTGGCTATACTACGGAAGTGCTGATTGAGAATTGCCATTATTTGAACAGACAAAGCTGGGTAATAATGTGAAGAGAGAAGCTGACCAGGAACCAGAACTCCTGTTGCGTGGGAAACACTGTGTTCAGAATTTGTTTCTGTTCAGAGGATGGAGCATTTTTGCCTCCAAACTCAAAATTTCCAATTAAGTGCATTTAGATCAATTGGAAAGTTTGGAATTGTTTGCTTTAATACCACAGCCAAGCATAATTTATATTTACAATGGAAAATCCAGTTCCAAATGATATTGTTCCTGTCCAGCAAGGACTGCAGATGACCCTTGAATATCACTCCCTTCTTTTCCCCTCTTTTTCCCCTTAAAAAAATACCTGTGAGAATAGTTTCTTGTTTACAAAGAAACTCTTTCCTACTGAAGACTTTCCACTGATGCGTAAGATGGATGCTACAATTATCAGCCCAGGCCATAGAGCAATTGCTGGAATACACTTCAGCAGACTTTAAAAATCCTTCTGGTGCAGCCATTCTGGCAGTTCCTTATGCATACAGTCTGAGCCAGCCTGACTGCATTAGGTGTTTAAAGGCCCTACTTTGGGTCCATCTTCCATTCTGTGTTCGTGATCTTGACACAACAGTTTAGGCTGGCTCAAGCAGGATTGTCAGCGCTGCAGCTCTGAATGCTCTTATCTGCAGAGACCTGCAGGGTTAGCAGAGAAAAGCATCCAGCATCTTCCTTTCCTCTGGAAATTGAATGTATCATTTCTTTCAGATTCCCAGGGGCCGCAACCTCCAAGGCTAAAAACCCACAGCTATTACTGAACCTAATTACCACCTGACAGCAAAGTGCTTTTCCGTAGCATCATTCAGTTACCTCATCAAAAAGAATGTTTGTTTGCCTTCTTCGTTTTAAATTAAAGAACCACTTACAGTGGTAACTGAAGCATTTTAATCTCATCAAATATCCATGTCCATCTCTATAGAGACAGCCATGCCAGCAGGGAAAGATACACAGCTATAATCGACTTGAACAGAGCAGATTTCTCTTCTCCCCCCACCAGAATCTAATGGGGTGAGGGATCTTTTGTCTGGGGGGTTCTACCTCACGTTAAAATCCTAAATACTGTAAATGTTCAGCCTAAAGCCAACAGATGTTTTAGGAATAGATTTTGAAAATTCATGTTGTTAATTTCCTGATAGCTTTCAAATGCTGGTCTTCCTTGTAAGTAGACAAATGCCTTCTATTTGTCTTGTGGGTCTTTGTCACCTGACATTTGATCAGAGCCTGTGTGTATTATTAAAAGTACATGAACGAAATGAAATCTTCTTTGAAGCTGTCATGTTAACTGCAAACCTTGCACAAGAAAACCTTGCAAACTGCTGGGGAGGAGGAGGAAGATAGCTGTGGTTTTAAATCTGCCTTGGCTGGGCAGTGGCATTAGGAAAGGACTAGAATATATAAAATGATACTAAATATCTCTATAATCAGGACTAATTATATGGTAAGGTTATTAGCTTGATGACTGGACATGTTGTGACCATAGTTTTTGAAAATATATTAAAACATTACCAGATTCCACATACTCATTGAAAGAAAGCTGCAGAGTTAATAAACGTGTAAGAGACAACTAATTGGCTGCTTTGTCCTAGTCTATTACAGGCAGAATGATTTCTGTTTGAGGAAATTAATGCAGCCAAATGTGTTATAAGGATAGCCCTGGAAATAACAGCAACCTGAATCACTTCCAGAGTACCTCTTGACTGAAGGACCTTAAAGAAGGAAATGTTTTACTTTGTTATCACTGTGGTGTGCAGAAGGAAACTGAGGCACAGAAAGGAAGGGATGGTCCTGAAAATTGGTGCAAGTATTTGCTAGTGCCCAGATTCAGGCCCCTTTAGCCCTGATAACAGCTATACTAAAGAATAGACGATGCAGGCAGTTCAGTGAGAACTGAATTAGGATCATCTGGTGCAAGAGACAAGAACTGCAGCTCTGGTTACAAGGCAAGAACTGACTGTGGGGCCAAGCACTTGTAAAGCTTATTCCAAGATGGAAAGAGGGATAGCTGTATCTTTATAAGGTGTTTATGTGCATGTAAGTGAATCCAACTTGTTGGATCTACAGTTGGACCTGTGGTATCCCCAGCGTATCCCACAGTCCTACTCTTGCAAGGACCCCGTGATCCTAAATGAACACTTAGTTCAGAAAGATAATGTCCACTGTTACCAGCAAACTAAGCAATTATTTTCCTGAAGGTGATATGTCTGCAGCAAGATAGGAAAGCATCAGTGGCTCAGCTGGGGAGGGCAAGAAGATTAGAATATTTTCATATGTGAGCTAATGAATTAAAAGCCTTGCTGAAAATGCTGGACACTTTCTGGAGTGATAAACCAATAGGCCCATAGATTTCTAAGAGTGAGACCTGTATGCTGCCTACAGAAGCTGCTGGAGAACAGAGTGCTGCCACTTCAGTGTGCTTCAGAAAGGCTCAGGAAAGTCCACCAGCACACAAAGACATCTCTTCAAGGCCGAGTTAAGTGGGGACAGAGCAGGAGAGCACAGCTGTTTGGTTGGCAATGGAAGTTCATGCCCTTCCTCTCCTCTTCTTGCAGTGCTGTTTTATGCTGCTCAGCAGCCAACAAATTCTGCTCCTGCTGCACTCACTGGGAAGAATTTGAGTGGGATTCCCTGTGATGCTGTCAGAGACACAAGCAGCTCTTTCTCTTGCTGTGTCTCTGTCCTGAGCACACTTCTCTACTTGTGCCAGAGTAAGTGTTAGCACTGGTTGTGTTGAGAGCAAAAAATTGCCTCCACTGAAATCTTTGGTATAAAAGGCAAAATTTTGTAGGTGATGAAGAAAAAGCAGAGTGCATCTGTTAAAAAAAAAAAGAAAACAGAAACCTTGCCATGCAAAAATTTGCAAATGCAAGTCACCTTGTGCTGCCTTAGGCCTTTGCCCACGCCAACATTGCTCTGTTCTTTCCCTCCTGGCTCATTGACTGTGCAGCAGAGCTGTGCTTCAGCACAGCAGCGTCAGCAAAGTTGCTATTGCCTCTCAAACTGCTGACTCGTTTTTCTGAGAGCTGCTAGTCCCATGTTTCTGGTTCTCTGTGTTCACTGAGGTCCAAATTATGGAAATGCTGAATGCTTTTGACTCTGACAAAGGTTAGAGGAGCTGGACTTCGAACAGACACCTCGTAAGTACCCTGAAAAATCCCAGCTGGCCAGCAGAATATCTCTGTACCAGGTAAAACCCAGGCCCTCTGCTCATTGGGGTGTAGAAAAAGAAATCCATTCCTATGTGGGAAGCTCTCTGTTGACGTACCGATACTCATGAAATCCAGGAGAAGAGGAATAGCTCTGTCTAAGAGCAGGGAACTTGATGGCATGCAGCTAGTAATGCCTGGAGTTACACACTGAACAAAAAAAAAGACAAGAAAATATTGACTGACCCTTTTTTAATTGCTTGTTCGTTTGTTTGTTGTGCCCTGAATGAAGCAGAAGTCTTGTTGAAGAAAAAGTAGGCTGTGATGAGGTAATTAAAGACTGCATCAGAAGGCATATCTGCCAGGAGGCTGAATTAAAATTGCTCTGACAGCCTTTATTCTGGTAATTCCTCCTCTTGCTGCTTGACTTTGCAGCCTTAATGATGATGTATAAGTTCACAGCTGTGTATCCAACCAGATGGATTGGCCCACAGGACTGCCCCGTCATCCTCAGGTGATGGCAACCATCGTCTGCATCACAATGGGTGGAGATGGAGAATGTCTTTTCCTGTATGGGCACAGTCTGCTAAAGAGACAGTTCTGCCAGGACAACTCAGTCATTCAAATGCTGAGCCCCATCTGACACTAAAGAGATGTTCAGTGGTTGTGTGGGCCTCCAGGCTCTGACTGATGCCATCCTGGGGATTTGCTGCTTTCTGGCACATGTGTGGGAGTCCTTCTGTCCCATGGGATCTGGATGTTCATCCCGTCCACTCATGCTGTCTTTCAGAAAAAACTTTTAAGATCTGCCTTCAGGATTTTTGAGGTTTTACCTGCATCTGTCGGCGCTTTCTTTGACCTGGCCATGTCTGAAATGAGAGCTGGGAGTGAAGCCACCTGTCTGCTTTACGTAGATGGCTGCTTCTTGTCATTCTCTTGGGGCCCTGTTTGCTGTCACCGCAGCTCACTTCCCCCAAACTTAAAATGCTGTCTTGTCATCTTTTCCCCCCACCATTTTTCAGTGGGAGAGTAGTCTTTAGGGAAAAACAAAAAAAGAAAAGAAAAAAAAAAGTGCATGTCCTAGCAAGAATTATGAATTTTGT